ATAATATTCATCTGTAATATTATTTGAGGATCTGTAGTTATATATGTAACTTCTAAACAAAACCATCCGTGAGTTACTATTATTGAACTTATAAGTTATAATAATAGTTAGATCATAGATATAAGCTTATGGTGCACTCGTTTTTAATGAATGTTTTAATTTGTTAACAATTTACACATACGCAATTGAACTTGAATGGTGATAACCTGATTAGTGATGATGACACTAGTACAAACAATAAGCTTACGCTTTGAATGGAGATCGCATATAAAAAAATGCAGTTCAAACTAATTTAATAAATTATTATATTTAAAGATAAATATTTTTAATTAAAAGTAAATATCTAAACAAAATACAATTGATTACAAATAAAGAATAAATATAACATTGACACAAATAACAATAAATATGATCATTTTAAATTTTAATAGTGAAAATTTAAATTATATGAAAATTCATTAGAAATAAAAATTATAAAAATATTCTTGTTTTGCTCTTATTATTGTATTTTTGTTCAATATTTGGTTCGTTTTTATCATTTCATTCAACTAAAGAACTAGTATTGTCAATTTTTATATATATATATATATATATATATATATATATATATATATTATTGTATCAACAAAATCTTGATTTAAAATTGTAAAATGCATACATATATATATATATATATATATATGAGAACAAAAATATGTTTGACGACATTTTATAATTCATTGAAGAAACTAATGAACAGAGTATCTTAATTTTTAATTTTTTAACTGATGTATATATATGAATCAATTTAAAATATAAAACAAATAAACAGAAAAATAAAAAATACTGCACGTATGAAACTAGAGTAAAATATGAAAATGCATGTGTGTGTTATAATATAAACTAAAAGAATAAGTGGATTTCTTAACTAAATCAAAATAAATAAAATATTTTAAAGATGAAATTTAAATTTTGTACACAACTGTTAACTACTTTATTTATCTGAATCATCATCAATACTAAAAATAAAGTCAACTATAGCAACTATACCATATATGTATTATTTAGTGTAGTTATGTCGCATACAAAAATAATGTGTATAAATACTTTTTACAGATTAAGTAAATATATATAAGCGTGTATAACAAATAACATGTTATTTAATATCATTTCACATATTTTTATAGAAATTTGTCTTAAAATTAGTATATGTGAAAATGGAAACAAACTAAAAACTTAATAGTTGAAAACAATTTTGGTTTATGAATAAAATGAAATTGTGTGTAGCAAAAAAAAGAAAGAATGGAAAACACCTCATTGGGCATATGTATTTGGCTAGCCTGTTTTATCTAGGAGTATGGAGTACAAATTTTTTCTACAGGTAAAATTTTATGTGTACAGTTCAATAGTTATTTTATTATTTGATTTTGTTCTGCATGTGAAATGGTAAATTTTTATATGTACAGTTCAATACTTATTTTATTATTTTATTTTGTTCTGTATGTGAAATGGTGAATAAATAATTAATACGGATAGTACTGCATCATAGTTTCTCCTATTTTTATCTTGTTTTTCCTCTACATGACATTCAAATCCTAAATGTTCGGATTTGTCTATACATTTATATTGGCTATGTAAAATTTCAAAAATAAAAACCCAACAATAGAACTGATGTGTGTCATTATTTTCTCTTTATGTAGGCAATGACAAAAAATATTGTAATGCGTAGTCCAAAGATGTTTTTAGGAGATTCTAAACGATTTAACAAAGTATTGAATTATTATTTTTTTAAATAAATTTGCAGATCTAAAATATTTTTAAGAAAATAATCTATATCTATGTAATTTTTTTTAAAATATTTGGATATCTAAGCCGAATGTTTTGTTAGACTTTATTCATGATCGGTCTTGACGCGTACACTAATTTAAGTAGCGTGTTGTTTTTTTGCCAGATATAATAAAAAAACTATTACATAGGGTATTGTTTTGGGAAGAGTTCACCTGCAAAAAAAAACCTAGTGAAAGATTGCAATCATTGTGGAAAGGTTCAAAAGGTTGCTTTACTAACTTAGTCAAGATTCAAAGTTTATGCAGAAAAAAAACTTAGTCAATATATTTTCGTAAATCTAGGTCCCCGCGAGTAGATTCCATGTTGCGACACCGTTAAGGTCCACTATATATTGCGATGTGACCTAAAAATCTCATGGTGGTAGTAGTTAAGATCAATTAAGATGAGAGTTAGAGTGTGAACAAAAAAAAAAGATGAGAGTTAGAGCATTAGTATTTTAAACTTACAAAAAAAAATCAGTGAGTCCGTAACCTAATTACTGACATGGATGTATACATTGATAGATAGCCAGCTAAAATATCCAATATAAACTATATTATAATCATAGAAGTTTTACCAAGACCAGTTCAATATTGTTGTAGGTTGTGTTCAATATATTGAACCCAATTATATTTTTTTAACAGGTCTGAGTTGTAGTCAATTTCGGCACATATATATCAAATTGTGGATAAGATTCTATGTCTAATATTCTCAGGCATGACTACCTGTCAGAATGTTTTATTTCTTACCACAATTTTGAAGTCTAACTTCAAAACGAATTTTTAGGATTTGATAGAATTGTTTTCACAAATCATTTATATTGAATTCTATAATTCAACCCAATACACTATCCTGATAAAATTGCCGGGGAGAGCGGCACTAGATCCACTTGTATGAATAGTGCTAATTGAATTATCAGTTTGTATAATTAATATATGAATACAAATTTTACCTAAAAAATAAAATATGTAAATACATGTTTTATCGTGGATTATTTTCGCGTTGTCCTTGCCAACAACTGAGCTAAGTTTATATACATGCATGCAGGAACTTAAGAAAAACGTGCGCCATCCGTCGCATCTCACCTGTCAAATTTCACAAACTCTACAATTGTTTATATAACTTCTGGTCGCTTTTTAGTCTGAACTAAATTCTTCTTCTTTCACATTGTTTGAGGAATATTTGGTAATATTATTTTTTTTGAAAAAAGTATTTGTAATATATTATAATGTGTTCTTTTTTTTTTTAATTAATCTTGGGGTATGCTATGCTTATGGAGAGGTCCACACTAATCTTCCAAAGAGAAGTGTAGCTTATAGATATACCATCTTATTGATATTCAAATAGATCCTAAAACATAAGTCTATATCCGTGTCAGGTGATTAAGATAATTGTGACTTAGTTTCGCACAACATATAAGTCGAACCTGAAACATGTTGATATCTCAATCCCGTCTCTTTACCACTCGACCACAATCATCCTACCATTATTGTGTTCTTTCTTTTGGTAATATTATCATTGTTGTTTATCAATCCATCCAAACAACATTTACATTCAAATTCCAGACGCTAGATCCAAAGAATCTGTAGCTGTAAGCTTGTAACTAATGTAAATTATTTAGTGGTGGCGGAGGCAGAAATAATTTTCAAGGGGGTCAATAATATTAACCATAAGCAAATGTTCAAACGAAAAAGTTTATTGACTTGGTGCATAGAGAGTCTCTAGACATGGATCATGAGGGTCATAATACTAAATTATCTATCAAATGTGAATTATATGAGCATACAAATTAAATTTGTCAAAAGTCACATGGGTCAGTTGACCCCCCTCATGTCAAGCTAGCTGGCTCCGCCACTGTTATTTAGTAAACAGAAGCTTCAATTGAGTGGCAAAATTATTTGATATCAGTAGAATATACTATCAGTATCTCTTCATATCAATGTTCAAAAAATCCATTTTCATGTTTATTGTCAACAACTAAAAAAACCAGGACTGGCTCAGAGTTTTAATGGGTCTTTGGGCAAACTTTTTTTTTTAAACATATATTTATAAGTAAGTTTAAATTTTTGGGTTCTCATTCTATTTCTTTTATAAAAATTTTGGACTCCTCTTTAACATCATTTTTGTAAAATTAGGTTGGACCCTGGAACCTATGCTCCTCTGCACCATGACCTAAGTCAGCCCTGAAAAAAACCTACTATTAATAATTTTATCAAAACATATCATTACGTTTTATTGTTTTTGTATATAAGTATAGTTTGAAAGATCATTTTTTTTTTGTAAAACAAATAACTCTAAATGTAACACACACACACATATACACAAAATCAATCGATGCCAGCGGCAGATCTAGGTGTAGCAGGAAGGATGCAGCCCACTTAGTTGGTCAAAAACTTCTCTTTGCATCCATTCAACCGAGGTTCGAACAACCCTTTGCCTATTTTCATTGATTTTTCCCCCATTCTTTATATTTTTCTAGATCTCCACTGATTAATGTCATCATCGTTAGCTCTATCTAGCTATTTTATGATTTAAAAAAGTTTCTATGTTGAAAAAAACGTTCTATGAAGATTTTGATTTAGTTTGATGTATTTGATCATTTATTCTTACATAATTTCTAAGGGTGTATTCAAATAAAATTTGTCTTAAAATGACAAATTCACTGTTATTCACACACATTTTTTGAAAACACTTTAAAATCTAGTGTTATCGAATTTGTTATTTCATAAAACATTCTGAAATCTTTTGTTATTGAACAAAATTTAAGTTGGAGATTTTGGAGTGTTTTAATTTTTTTTAGAGTGGTTAAGAAGCGTTTTTTTAGTTATAAAATTCAAATCTCATAGTAGTTTTGAATGAGATTTTATTGTGAATTAACAAAAAACAAACTAAATTCTTCAATTCATCTACAATTATCTAAAAGTTCATTAAAAATCAGTCGCTTTAAATTTCAGATTCAGTACACCATTTGGTCGATTTGTGTTTTGGTTAGATGCTAAATAATATTTTGATGTAACAAACACATTTTTTTAAAAATCTAAATTTATGGTTTTAAATTTATGGTATCCCCTAAAGAATAATACATAATTAAACATATGAAGTCTTAAGAACCACGTCCGTAACGTACCATCAATCGACCATCAACTAACTTAAGCTTGTCATGTGTAGATTAGCGGGTTGAATTCAAACCACATATTTTAATTAGCAATTTGAGATAAATTAACAACGAAGAGCAATTTATTATAAATACACGTTATACAACACTATAGATAACATTAAGCAAAACACAGCTCTTTATTAACTAACTATATTAGAAATAAAACTAATATTTGTGTTCCGTTCCTCTCGGTCCTAAGTTAAACACACATGCAATTCAACAACAAAATGATAGTATAACCAAGCGAGACGACGTTGTATCAGGTCTCAAGCTTCTGAAGGAACCACAGAGAGAGCAATCATTTAACATCATTTATAAACATCTAATTAAATTCGACAAATTGGCGGTTTTGATTTTTCAGAGTTGACTTAGCCCTCAAGGTAACCTTTGTCTTGCAAGTATGAGATGATATTTTCAGCCATCTGACGTGGTGAACAAGAATCGTCATCACCTGTGTGTTTCAGCACGACCTGTACAAAATATACATAGATACTATATTATTAACTTTACGTATCAAATTCTTCGATGACATCATTGAATAAAGATAACAAACCTCGCAGTTCAATGGCGCCTCGTAAGGATCATCGATTCCAGTAAAGCCTGAATCAAGAAAAAATCTATAATCAATATATCTTCTTCTACTACTACTACTACTATAATCTCAAAACCACATCCATATTACCTAATAACAAGTATTTAATAATATTATTATTCTCTCCGTTTGAAATGTAGAATGTATTACCTTTGATTTTGCCGGCACGTGCGAGCTTGTACAACCCCTTTGGATCTCTTGACTCACACACAGACAGAGGAACGTCCATAAAAACCTAAAAAAGTATAATCATTCGTAATATTATCAATACTAGATAAGGAACCGTGCGATGCACAGAAACTCATTTTATAAAAATAAATATAGCATATTATATAAAGTAACATTTTACAAACACAGTTCATAATTTGTTTTGAGAAAATACATGTATACAAAATTATCTTTCATGCAACTATATTACTTTAATGATATTACTAAAAATATATATTTTGTTTATAAAATTTGTTGTGACAAAATTAAGTATGTCAATAAAAAATATTGTCTGTTGGAATTAATTGGGATTATTATTATTAGTAGATACTACTATATACCATTTACTATATGAAGTTAAATAAATAAACATAAAATCTGGTCGGATTATAAGCACCTCCACAAAATCTCCCTCCGGTAACAGTGACCGGCACTCATCTCTGTCTCTCCGGTAAGGAGAAATCAAACTTGCTATACAAATGACCCCAACGTCAGCAAACAGCTTTGCCACCTCACCTGAGGTTCAAGATCATTAATCATCTTTAATTAATTAGTTAGTTATTTTTATTTATTTGGAAAAAAAAAGAAGAAATTATTGTACCGATCCTGCGTATGTTTTCGGTACGATCCTCAGCTTTAAAAGTGAGGTCTCGGTTAAGACCGTGACGTACATTGTCGCCGTCAAGTGTGTAAGTAAGTTTGCCTCTTTCAAACAATGCTTTACTTAGCGCACACGCAACAGTGCTTTTCCCTGAACCGCTAAGACCAGTGATCCATATGACACAACCCTTTTGTTGAAGAAGTTGTTGTCGGTCGCATCTGCAAATAGAACTCTCGTGCCACATGATGTTCTCTGGCTTCTTGTCTCCGTTGATTCTCTCTTCTTTCACATTCGTTTCTACAAATAAACATAACAATATTTGAAACATTTTCAGACAAGACAACGTAGGTTTGAGATTTTGAGGATTTTTTTTTTTTTACTTTTTTTATTAGGCTGGAGATGGAAGCCTATAATTCTTTTAGAATATTTGAGGAGAGTCTTTAAGTGAAAAATACCTGAAAAGGCAGTGAGGGAAGCTTGAGCAGAGACAGGATGAAAAGAAGAAGTTTTCACGACTAGTTTGGGGTTATCCACCGCATTTGATGACGTTGGAAGGGTGAGGAAACCGTCACGTAGAGGCCGTCGGTGAGAACCGCCGTGGAGACTTGGAAGAGAGCAGAAGATGGACGGTCGAGATGCTCTGATAGCTAATCGTTCCATTGAAACTTTTTAATCACAGAAGGCTGCAGATCCCAAACGGTGATGATATAAAGTCAATGCACAAAACAAAACTGCTTATATAAATTATGGATTATTTGAAATTTTATATATAGAGGGTTAGGAGAAAAGGAGAGAGGAAGAAAACTGGTGAGAAAGGAGACTAATGGTACCAACATTCTATTCTTACACAAAAAACACATGGCC